CCAGATTTCATCTGATGTGACATAATTGTAATTGTGTTTTCGAGAGTGAGGAGCTAACTCATGTGCGTTGAAGGGCTGGTGAGCATAGCGATTGGTTTCAGTTGTGATGTGATTTACCAAGTCGTCATCCAGAAAAAATTTTAATCCATTTAAAGGGATGCATTTTAAGTGTTATATCAATTTTGATCCCGAAACTATTAGCAAATGGAAGTATTGGGGGTACAAAGTCTCCGTACGTTCATGAGATGGGCGTGTCAGGCACCGCACTCGTGGTAGGAAAATGTCCATGATTACTGTCTTGTGGATCATTGCCTATCACAGTATTATTGTCACTATCAACTTAATCCAATTCAGGAATCATTATTTCATCGCCACTATCATCATCAGAAAAAATCTCGTTCACAACATTTTCCAGCTGGTCTGTAGGAAAACGAAGACACTTGCTGCAAGAAGCTATAGTGAAACTGAATGAATGTGAAATATTTTCTGACATTTACCTTTTCAGAGGGTTCTGACAGTAATATAGACCCCCACAAAGTTTACAAGGGTTCTTTACAAACATGCACAAAAACTATCATAAATATGTCTTTGGTTGATGACTGCCAAGAGAGCAAAGAAGGGACGAGATGGTCAAAGCGTTAAAACACGCCAACGCCAGGGAACGGCTGGCATCGTCCGGGCGATAAAACACGCCCGCGCCAGTCAAAGAGTTAATTTCATCAGCTATTTCTTTTTGTGTGAATGCTTTGATGGTTGTATGTGTTATAGGTGGGCTTAATAGACTTTTTTCTGTTTCTTGGTCGATTACTGTATCTGTTGGTTGGAATATGGAAGCCAAGTGTTCTGCCAAAAGTTTAGCTTTCTCAGCGTCACTTTTTGCCCATGGTTCATTGGTATATTTTCTTATTGGTGGTGTTGGAGTTTTAGGTTTTTTTGAGTTCTTGATTGGTTTCTGTATCAAATTGTCTGTTCTACTTAGTTTCGTTATGTATTGCTCAAATTCTTTGCTCCTGACTTTTTTGAGCTTGTTTTTTAATTTGACTTGTGTGGTTGTAAGCCCATTTATCAGCTGGTGTGTGGGTTCGTTGCCATCTTGATCTGGCTGTCCACTCACGAAATATAAATGAATGTGTGCATGTTCCTGAAATGAGCCTGTTGTAGTAACTTATAATATGAAGACTACCTTTAATAGGTACATGCATATGTATACAGGTATGACAGCTTTTTGTAGAATTCCAGTGTTCTAGAATCTGCGCACTTATAATTAAGAGGTGAAAAAAAAAATGTATTTCACCTACTTCCATAAATATTGGGACTGTCACCTTTGACCAGTCTTCTGTTTAAGTTCCAGCATGCTATTTCCCTGGTCAAGGCTAGATTTACAGCTGTGGGGTAATCAAAATATGGAGGCCCATATTAGTAACAACTGAGTTATGTAATGATTATTTTTTATTTCTTATAATAACTAAAAATGCAAACTAACTAGAAGCATTTGTCCTAGTAAGATCTGTGAATTTTATTTCTGTTTTGTGGAGGTGTTGGGGTGACTACCCAGCTTGCTCCCCCTTAAATCTTACAATTACCGTCAATGCCATTTATTTCAGATGGCACAATAAACAGTATCAAAACAAAGAGTAATACAAAAACTAAGATTGTACTAATGTAAAATAAAGACTCATAGATGTGGACATTGCAATGTAACGCTTCAAAAGCCTGGTACAGTATTTGAACTTGCACAAGAATAAATCTGGATTGTTCAAAGAAACACGAAAAGTTAAATTTGGCATGATATTTTAACTTTAAAATATACAGTGTACTGACATAAGTTTAATTAAATGTATTGTAGGTACAACATAGTGGTGGAGTGTGACAACCCTGACATAGGAAGCTGTGAAAATATTGCCAAGTAGATATATGCACTGTACAGACAGCTACACAAATCTGAGCTAAAAAAATGAATTAAGTTAAAGAATAAACAAGGAAGAAAATGGAAACTAAGAAAAATAGTTATTGACTACTGAACTTACATTCTTTCATTAAAACTTGTACTTCAGTTTCATGCAACAAGTCTTGAAGAATTTTCTTCTTAGCTGTCATTCATGATAACTTAGTGAGTCTCCCCTGAGTCTGCATATGGACCCTCTTCAAAGCAGAGAATGGTCACTTGACACACATGTTGGAATGGTTAAGAACAAGGCTGATAATTTTGTGACTTAGGGTAATCTTATACTCAGATTTTAAGTGATCAAATATCTGGACATGTTTGAGATATTTCTAAAAATTCTTCTGATGAATGAATAGAAGTTCAGCTTTCAAAAGAGAATCAAAATAGCATCTGTATGATTTCAATAATGACTTATAAGCAGTAGCTCGAAATTAATTAGTGTTTAAAGTTTCCAAGGTCTAGAAATGAAACAGACTTCAGTTTAAGAATTTCAGAGAATCAGGTGGTTGACTGTCCTTTCATGGCATCAGTTATTTCATAGTACAGCTGCCATACCTGGCAAGCTGCTTTGATATTAGTTCCACAGTTCAAAAAACACTAGATTTGGAGGTTTAACATCTTTCATACAATACATATGTATTTTGTAAACCAACTTAACTTGCACTCACAAAGTGAAAGATTAAAATCTCACCTAGTACTAACTGTAACAACTGACACATTACCATCATCTTTTATCCCTCAAGCAAATGACAGGTTAACAAAAAAGTACTAATATCTTTTCCATGTTTCTATCTCCGCCTTTTTTATCTCCTCATATGTATATCATGAACATGAAAATATTGATCTTGAGTTCCTGACAGAATTACTCGTTTTCAGCACCCCTTGACAGGACATGTCATCTGTCTATGAGAAGTTATGTCATAAAAGCATTAATCTCTAGGAATCTGACAATTGGATTAACCTACATGACAGTGCACCAGCCCATCAGACCAAGAATGGTATCTTAACTTCCCCACTCTCCAGATCAAAACCCTGCTGATAACTGCTTGCTCCCATGAGTTAAAGCTCTCTTGAAGGGATGCAGGTTCCAGTCAGCAGAAGAGGTCACAGAAACTACAATCATGTCATTTCCAGTCACAGAAAAAGACATATATATGAGTCATCTGCAGTGGTATGTCTGCTGTTAGAAATGCACAGCAGCAGAATGGAACTACTTCAAAGGCAATGTTCAGCAAAATCCATCAAGTTCACATGGGGAAAGTTGATGCAGTTTTGACTGCATCACATACAGAAGATATAGACAGTGAAAAATGTGTCTGTATGTGGTTTTGTATAGGGTGTTCAAACAACAAATAAGAAATGTACTAGTGGAAAGTGAGTTTCATAACTTGTACTATTTTCCAAGTATAATTAGAATTATCAAGTCAAGGTGGATGAGGAGGCCAGGGCATGTAGCATGAATGGGGGAGTCAAGGAATGCGTATAGGGTATTGGTGGGAAAGCAAGAAGGGAGACCACAGGGAAGACCAAGGCATAGGTGGGCGGACAATATTAAAATGGATCTTAGAGAGATAGGATGGGATGGTATGGATTTGATTGAGCTGGCTCAGGATAGGGACTAGTGGAGTGCTCTTGTGAACACGGTAATGGACGTTCAGGTTCCATAAAATGCTGGGAAATTCTTGAGTAGCTGCAGAATTGGTGGCTCCTCCAGAAGGGCTCAGCTCCATGACTAAGTAAGTAAGTACTATTGGAAAGTTCCTGGACTAGGTCAAAAGAAAATGCTGGCTTAACTTATTCAAGTTTGGCTGTCATCTCCTTCAAAATAGTCTCCTTGGGAACGTATACAGTGATCCCATTGTTTTCTTTCCATGCTTCGAAAGCACTAAGGAAGTCATTTTCTTTAATGCTGTCAAGTACCGCTTGCAATTCCCTTTGGATATCAGACACTGTTTCAAAAGTCATCCCTTCAGTTTCATTTTCAATTTGGGAAACAAAGCGAAATCACAGGGGGTTAAGTCCAGCGAGCAGAAAGGGTGGGGAAGAACAACTATGTTGTTAGTCACAGAGATGTGGGTGGGCGTGCTGTCATGATGATGCTACTTACAGCTGCACCAAAGTTCTGGTCTTTTTTATTGCACATTTTCTCTCAATTGTCTCAAAACATCACAGTAAAGGTCGAGTTGACCGTAGTGTTAGGAGGAATAAATTCAGAGTGAACAATTCCGTTCATGCTGAAAAAAACAAGCATGTTCTTTGTTGAACTCTGAACCTGCTGTGCCTTTTTTGCTCTTGGTGACTGTGGGCTCTTCCACTGCGATTACTGTTGGTTTCTGGATCATAATCATAAATCCAACTTTTATCACCCATTATGATCCTAGAGATAAAAGGTGGGTCCTGTTTAACTTTCTCTTGTAGCTCAAGATGCATGTTTACATGCCACTGCTTTTGATAAGTTTTCAAGAGTTGGGAGAAGAAACTTCGTGGAAATGCAGTCCATGTTCAAATTTTCTGTTAAGATCACTTGGCAAACTCCACAACATACCAGCAGTGTCTGTGAGCTCATGGATTGTTCGGTGATGGTCTTCATGGATGAATTCTCGAATTTCTCCTGACATTTTCTGTTGTCTTGCTGGTGCTTGGTTGCCCTGACTGTTCGACATCTTCAACTGACACTTGACTGGCCTTGAAAAGTGAATGGCATTCAAAAACCACTGTCTGGTCTAAAGGATGTTCTCCAAAAGCCTCATGAAGCATATCAAGGGTTTTGGTAATGGATTTACCAAGCTTCATATAAAACTTTATGCAGACAGGTTGCTTGATTTTGCCATCCATCGCATACAAAACAAAACACAGTCAAAAAAGCATTTGTGTAAAACAATGCATGTTCACATCACGGTGTCATGTGGCAGACTGATGCAATAGACATTGGAACAGATTTTATTCATATTCAATATTTAAGAATTTATCCATCACAGGTCAGTGCCCAGTGGAACATTCTTGTTCCAAAAAGAGGGGTTTTCAAATGGCCCTCAAACACAAAATTGCAACTTTCTGAAATTAGCTTCAACTATTTTTATTAAAATTCAGTCACTTAAGAAGACCACTTCCTTACACAGCAGGTGTTTTATAGGTGTAAAGGGTACAGAGCAAAACAATAGACATGAACAGCAGAAAAGGCTTTTTTTTATATCACAGGTTCCTTATATCATGTTTTTACATGTATAAAATGAAACGGGTCAGTTGAGCATTAAAATGAATGTTTGAACTAGGTGTATGAGAAAATAAAACAAGTCAGCAAGTTATTCTAGGTCACTATACACATTCTGATGAACGTTTATTTCGGTGTGTGGTGGGGAGATAGGTGAAGAGGGAAAGTTACTTACACTGATTTATATTTCTTTGGCACCAATTTCAACATGTTGACTTGTAACCTTCTTATGCATTCTCTGCACAGTGTGCAGAGATGAGATGGATGAATTTTGATACAATTTTATATAAATATTAATGCCACTGGAGGCTATCCCAGAGTTGTCCTTTTTAATTTTCTACAGTTGGTAATAACAGTGTGGTGGATGCACAGATCTGTGAAGTATGAATAGTGCTGGCACTGCTACCTAAACACAGTAACTACAGTAACCAGCACTAGTTCCAGGTAGTATTAATTCTGCAGGTCAGTGATCTGTCAACACAATAGTCTCTGTAGTCAACTGATGTCATTCTCACAAAAGATGTTTATTCAGCAGAGTTCAAAACCTGAATTTTGTCTTTTTTTAATACTGAATGTTATGACTGCATTTTATATGAAGTAGAGTCTCTAGTGCTCAATATTATTAACGTTTCATCAAAGACATTTGGAACAGCTAGAAACATTGATAATGCAAAGAACACATGTGGATGCTGTGTGCACTCTGATACAAATTGCACCTCTCTAATCTTGATTTTTATTGGAAGGTAGCATATTAGCATTCCTGTTCTATTATCTTCTACTGTGTCAGAAATTAAACTTTCAAATGGCAATCCATGATGGTAGTGCAACATGAAGCAGAGTCTTTGACATGTAATCCTAGGAAGCTAATACTCTGTCACTGACATCAAAAAATAATAATTTGGAAGAAAGGGAGGGAAAATTAATGCAGAAATCATTACTGTATATTTAATGTGTTCTTCATAAATGGCATATTATAAACAAATAGAGTACATGTATTTCATACACATGTACTCAGTTCCTGAAGAGGAACTGAATGTAAACATTTCCCTTGTATAATATTTTATTGGTAATCCATCTAGTCAAATGATGAACTGTGATTTTGGGCTGAAACAAAAATGAAAAAACTGTAATGGATTCTTAGTTCACAAGTATCACAAATTCCTTCTAATGGTACATTATAATTCTTATTCACTACGAGGTTCAGTTCAAGCTATATACTGGGTATACACAAAAGAATGGTGCGGTTTCAAAAGTTAATAAAAAATTATTTCTCAACAAACATGAGCACAACATACACTGTCAGATGCGGCAACTGTCCAAGTTTCTCATGTGCTAATTAGAAACCTCCAATGTGTGAACCCTTGGTCACACAACACATCCACACAGTAATCAAACTCATCCCAGACCCGGTGTAGCATGTCCTTTGTAATGGCCTGCAGTGCATATGTTATCCGATCACGAAGTTCATAAATGGACATGGGCAATGGTGGTACATAAACGCCGTCTTTAACGAACCCCCAAAGAAAGAAATTGCACAGTCTAAGATCTGCCAAACGGGGTGGCCAAGGGAGAAGATTGTTATCTTCATTGGCAGCAGAGTTTGATTACCGTGTGGATGTGTGTCGTGTGATCCAGGGTGCACACATTGGAGGTTTCTAATTAGCACATGAGAAACTTGGACAGTTGCCGCATCTGACAGTGTATGTTGTGCTCATGTAAGTTGAGAAATAAATTTTTATTAACTTTTGAAACCGCACCATTCTTTTGTGTATACCCTGTATTATATATACACACAATTATATTGTCACTTGCTTGTGTTTCATGCTGCTGTTTGGGACTTAGACAGGCTTTCATGGCACAAAGGAAAAAATACATACACTGGTCGTCGACTTATGACCAACTTCTGTTCTGACTGACAGGTTGTAAGTCGATCTGGTTGTATGTCGGCCATATATTTATTAACGGTATTTTTTAACCTTTCTAATCTTTTTATCATCTTTATAATTTATTTTTAAAAACTTTTACATTTTAATCATTTTTATTTTATTTTATTTTATTTTTGTGGCCGTATGTGCAAGTCGATCTGGTTGTATGTCGGCCATATATTTATTAACAGTATTTTTTAACCTTTCTAATCTTTTTATCATCTTTATAATTTATTTTTGTGGCCGTATGTGCGGCTAGTCATAAGTTGACGACCAAGTGTACTTCTAACCTCAACACTGTATACAATAAATTACTCTCTTGGATTACTAATGTAAATTCTTTTGGCCAATACTTTTATTTTCAATACTGCTGTTCATTCCATGATGAAAAGGGCTAAATGCCACAAACGTACACAAACTGTAAGTTAATAATACGTATAATATATAATCATAATTGACATAATCAATAAATACAAATGATTGATTGTTAATGTAAAATTTTCTGGCTTCTCTGCTACAATAAATAACCACTGGAACATACCTATTTATTTCTTGGTACTGAGCTGAGTGACAAGATGACTGATCTTGTCACTAAGGTTACGATCTGCGGAGGCACATCTCCCCTGCACAAACAACAATGCTTGGAGGTCTTTCTGTTCAAATGCAATCCGTGCTGCTTCTTCAAACATTCTACATACAAAAAAAAACAATAAGGGATACAAACCTTAATCCAGTAAAACACATTACTTATATCATGCAGGGATTTCAAACAAAAAAAAAAAAAACCCCTGTAAAGCCATCCTTTTTAACAGGCCGTGGAGGTCCATAGGGTTGTAAGATGTTGAGGCTCCCACATTTTCCAGACAATGGGCTCACAGATGGCAGCGGCAAGGTTGTCAGCCCTATGTGCCGGCTGCCCTTTATCCCCAGGAATATACCTGTACCCTCAAAATTAAAGGCGTTCCATACAGAACTCACAAAGAAAACCTTCCTACTGCGTAGACTTTGAGACCTAAAAACCTTTTGTTAATGCCATGCTGCTTCTTAAACTTAGCGATTTTGGCCTTTCTGGTGGGTATTTAAAGTGGGTCCATAGCTATTTATGCAACAGAAAATCTCCAGATAATTTTTCTGGAATTCATTGTCTTTTGGAGTTCTCTCTAGTTCTCACAAGGGTTCATTTTGGGGGTCTGTGCTTTTCAATATACATATTAATGACTTCTGTTATTAAGATACACGAAAAGCAAAAGCTATAAGTTCAAGCTTTTATCAACACAGCATTTTAATAGGAATGTAAACATAACTACCTCTATGACAGTGTTCTTTTATTTTTTTTGGGGGGGGGGTCAGAAGGTTCATTACTACGTTCACAAAAACACACTACATGGCCCTATTCTGCTTCCAAATGAATCTAGCATATCCTCATACCCTCTTTCTGTAAGATAGATTTTAATAGTATATTCCTATCTCCCCCTTGTTGGTGTCTCCACCTTATTGTGGTGAGGGGGTTTGAATATGACAAGGACCCTGAGAGCTATACCAGCAGTAGCATAGCTACTGGCAGGGCCTCCCATGCTGGACAGGTCAAAGGGTAGGCATCAGACGAAGAGAGACACCAAAAACCAAAAAACTGATGTCGGAAGCAGCGTCATCAGCAGCGACTTGAAGCACAGAGCAAATGATGCTCAAGATGGTTCAAGTTCGTATAGCAACAGGCGTGACCAGAATGGTTTGAATGGCTGTTGTACTGCGATGTGGAAAGCAGATGGAAAAACTACTACATTATCACTTTTCCTGGTTAGTTTCTTTCCAAAAACAGAGATACCATGTATGCGAGATGTTTCCTCTGGAGACAAAACAAACCGGAGGTAAACTATTCCCCCAACTACATCTCCGGGGGGGGGAGTGTTTCTAGAGGAAATGTCATGCAGGCGTTACGACAAGGAAAAGTGCGAAGATCAGAAGGAACATCACGGCTACAAGATTGGAACATGGACTGCAAGGACCTTGAATCAAGCAGGAAAATTGGAGAATTTGAAAATGGAAATGGAGAAGAATGAGGTGTCTGTTTTAGGTGTCAGCAAAGTGCGGTGGAAAGGACTAGGTGAAATAAGAAGTGGTGATTATACAATGTATTATTCTGGAGGTGAACGGGCTGAAAGAGGTGTGGCAATAGTGGTGCATAAAAGTGTAGTGAGGAGTGTTGTTAAGAAGATTGTTTGTAATGACAGAATTATTGCTCTGAAGTTAAAGGCGGAACCGGTAGATATACTGATTATGCAAGT